TACATTATACTGATTAGACGTATAAATTCAGTATTTTTTTGCATACGGAAAAAGATGATTTTCAGTATCTAGTATACGGAAATATTTACAAATTTATTATACTGTTTTTCTACATTTATTATACGTTTTTTAAACGTATTATTTCTATATACTTTCCTTATACATATTATTTATAGGGAACTAAATATATTTATGAAAAAGTAATGATATTATCAAGGAAATAAAGTTGATAAAATTGATTAGCAAAGATAATCATGTCAATAAAGTTGTCTGTTATACTAGAAATAAAATTGACATCTGGATCTACAATGTTTCACATTGATTATCTCAGGACATAAAGTTAATATCAGAATTGACGAGATGATAAACAAGGACATTTAATTGACATTGGATTTGTAATCAGATTTTAGCCAAAATTTTACAGTGTTACATTTCCCTTTTCTTTGATTTAAGCTCTGTTGAAGAAACTTTCTTTCTTCTTTTAAAACATTTGGATAAAGCCGATAGAATAATTCCAAGTTTTTGAGCATACTTCTTTTACGTTTTCCTTTCCTAATAAGTTCTTTAGAAATTTCACCTTTAACAAGTTCAACTTCAGTATTCTTTTGATAAACTTCATCCATTATGGAAATTAATTCTTCAGAATTAGTTTTTTCCTAAAGGTCGAGTATAATTGAAAGAAGTTTAGTTTCATTTTTTTCAATTATATGTCTTGCATTTTCAACTTTTTCAATGTCAGATTTGTATTTGTTGATAAACTGATTCATTTTTTGGAAATTTTTAAAACTCATTTTATAAAATTTAAGGTTTTGATAAAAAGAATTTTAAGTCCTTTTATACTTTTAACAGTATTTATTCCAAATAAATCACAGGGTTCCAATTTTATCGATCGTTGTAAATCTTTAATAAACTTGCGTTGATTGGTGTTTTAAAAATTCGTCTATCTGTAGATTTTAACTTATAAGCTCTATTCAACAATTTATCATGAATATAAAATGGTCTTTTTCATTTATCTTCTAATTTTTCAGTCTAAGTCTTTTCTTTTGCAGCTTTATATAATAGGACTTTGTCTCCTATTTGATATTCTATAGGTATTTTATTTTTGAATCATGTCATCTTTTTTGATTTTCCTATGTTTTTGTAACATTTTCTTTTGCTTTCTGTCAATTTATTTCTAATTCTTCTAAATTTGATTCTAAAGTTTCATTTTCAAAAATGGTGATTAGAAGCCTCGCTTCTCTTTTATAAGTCAAATAAAATGGTATATACTTTGTAGTAGAATTTTTTGCAGTCTGATAAGTAAATAGTACTGAATTTATAATAGTATTTCATTCTTGTAAATCTTTTGTTATTTTTGCTATAGATTTACCTAAGGTTTTATTAAATCTCTCAACTAATTCATTAGCTTGAGAATGGTATGGTATGGATAATAAGTGCTTGATTTCAAACTTATTCATTAATTTGTCTACTACTTTGTTTCAAAAATGTGATTCTCAATCTGAAAGTATATATTTTAAACATCCATGTTGACATATTATATTTCATAAATAAATTCTATAACTGTGTTTGCATCAGCTGCAGGTTTTGCAATTGCTTCAGGCCATTTGGTTAAATAATCCGTTACTACGATTATTTATTTGTTTCTATTATTCGTAAGGTATAAAGGTCTTATAAAATCTATTCCAATTTTTTCAAAAGGTTTTCCAACTGGTATAGGATGTAATAACATTTTCTTTAAAGGCTTTCCTCTTCTTTGACAAGAGTCACATTCTTTAATATAGTCCTAATATCTTTGAACATTTGTGGCCAATAATAGTTTTCTCTAATTTTTTCGAAGACTTTTTTGATGCCTAAGTGTTCTCCAATCAGGTGATTGTGTATCGCATAAAGATCTGTTTCTATTTCATGAAGTTTAGAACTTTAAGAAAGTTTACTTTGTTTTTCTTGTCTTTCTTAAACAATTGATTTTCTAAAATCACAAAATTTTTGATTGTCGGGTAATCTGATTTGCTAATTTTTTATCATTCAGTAATACTGAAATAGTTAAATATTCTTTCAACTGATTATACCGATTTTCTTTTATTTGTTTAACTTAAGCTATTAATTACATTGTTAATACTTTCGCTTTCACTCAGTTAAAATTTTCAAATATTGAGACTTTCACTCACTAATTGTTATTCAAATATGTGTTAACTCTTTAAAATAAAAATAATAAATATATAAATAATTTTGAAATTGACTATTTTAAAACTAAATAAATGTTAAAATAAAATAATAAAACTAATAATTTAGAGTGCTAACTCTGTTACGAGTTTCATCAAAATTTGATGAGTAAATAGGAGCAATAATAGGTGCGAACAGTCCAAATATTTCATCTAATTCATTCTCAGTCCAATCAAGTGTTTGAGGATTCTTAATTGGTTTTAACAATTCAACTGCTGCAAGACATGCTTCATCATTTCATTGTACTTTTTCAGATATATCCCAAAATACTTCATTAATAAGAGTTTCAGGTATCATTTTAGGGTGTATTTGTCTAAGATTATAGCTAATAATACATTCATGATCTAAGTCAGTGGTAATAATTATTCTATAACTATTACAATTAACAAAATACTCTTGAGCAAATTCTTCAAGTTTGTTACCATTCATTCGTTTGATAGTGGTTTGCCTAAATTCAGTAGCTTTTAAGAAATTATATGCAAGTCCTGTCTTCAATCTTATTCTTTTCAATTAAGAATTGATTCAATTTCTTCTTCACTAAATTAAATTCAGATTCACAATTATCTTCTACTTGTTCAAGTGGTTGTTTATTTTCTGCTTACTCTTTATTAGCTATCATATTTAAATATTCATAATATTCATGTTCATTATATTGGCAAATAGTATGTTTTGTTAGTGAGAATATGTAGTTTCCATATGAATTGGCACATTGATAATATTCAGTGCAATACCAATGAGAGTGATGATCATTCTCATTACAACCATAGCTAATTTTTTGATACTTTCTGTTATTGTGCAATCCATTCCATTACCATTTCGTTTGACATCCAGGAACATCTAATGCAGAAAAATGTACTTGAATCCATTGATTATTTTCTTCTAAATCTTTATCATATTCAAGCGATATAATATTCCCTTGGATTTCTCTTTCTGTATATGCAAAATTTTCTTCGCTTATTATTGAAAGTGTAAAGCATTCAATTATTTCATCTGAGCTTTCATCATTTTCATAGTTAATCCTTGATAATGCGTCAGCATTTGCGTTATTTTTTTCAGACTAATGCTGAAGTGTAAATGTATATTGCTGTAAGTTCAACAACCATCTTGCTTTTTTGTTTTATTCTTTACAGTAAAAGTTTGTAACTATTTTAAAGCAGCATTGTCAGTTACTAAGATAAAAGATTTGAGTGAAGTGAAGTGATGAAAATATTCGACTGCTCAAATAATCGCCAGACATTCTAACTCTTGTGTACTATAATTTTGTTCATGTTTATTCAATATTATACTTGCATAAGCAATTACTTTTTCTTTTTTTTGATCATCTTTTTGTGCAAGTACCGCTCCAAGTCTAATTCCAGAAGCATCAGTAAATAAATAGAACATTCTATTAAAGTCTGGATATCCAAGTATTGGGGCTTGTGTTAACTTTTCTTTCAAAATTTCAAAAGAATCTTTACATTCATTGCTCCAGTTATAGTAAACTTTTTTTTTTGTAAGATTGTTTTATTGTTTCGCAATCTTAGAAAAATCTTTAATAAATTTGCAATAGTATGATGCTAATCCCAAAAATCCTTTAATTTGTTTCACATTTTTAGGAACAGGGAAGTTTTGCACTTTCTCTATCTTCTGAGGGTCTGATTGGATTCCATATTCATTGATTTTGTGTTCTAAAAATCGTAATTCTCTTTTGAACATTTCACATTTCTGTTTATTCAATGGTAAATTCACAGTTTCTAGTTTATTGAAGAGCATTTGTAAATGTTCGCAATGTTCTTCAAAACTGTTTAAGTAGACAATAATATCATCAATGAATACTGCCACAAATTAGTCAATGTATTCTTTTAATAATTTATTCATTGTTTTCTGAAAGGTTACAGATGCATTGCATAATCTGAAAGGCATAACATTAAATTTATAATGTTTTCAATTGATAACAAATGCAGTTTTCTCTCTATCTCTTTGATTTATTTCGATTTGCCAAAGGCCACTTGCTAGATCAAAAGTAGAAAATCATTTTAATCCATTCAAACTTCTAATATCTCATCAATTCTTGGTATGCATCTTCTCTTGTGAGTTTGTTTAATTCTCTATAATTAATACATAGACATTTTTTGCCATTTGCCTATTTCATAAGAATAGTTGGAGATGTCCAGAGGCTGTCTGATTCTTGAATAATTTCCTCTTTAACATCTTTTTAATTTTTCTATTGATGAAATCTTATTTTTCTTTTGTAAATCGATAATAATTTCTTCTGATCAGTCAGTATTTTTGGTATCAATTTGATGTTGAGTCACATTAGTTCGTCCAACTTTTGTTGATTACCCTGTTTCAGAAATATTGGTTATGAATCTACTTTCATTATCTTTGATCAAATTATCAATTTTTTCTTATTGCTTCGTAGTGAACTTTTCCTTTTTAACTTCAGGTTGAACAATTTCTGCAATATTACATGATAAGCTATTCTATAAAATTCTATTCAGAATTTCATCTATAAAATTGGTATGAGTAGGAGTAATTTTCTCTCGTTTTGCCATTTCTTCATATTTCAAGAAGTCAAAATGAATCTATGGTCCATTTTTGTTCTTTTTAATTCGCTCCAATTCTACATCTTTTGGTACTTTTATAATATAAACGTTGCAATTAAATTCAGGGTCATTGAATAAATATTCAAGATCTTTATCTTTGAAAATTATTCCTATTTCCTCTTCAGTTTCCCTAATTGCTGCTTTTATTAGAATTTTTTCTTTATTTACTTTTTCCAGGAATTTTCCATAGTCCATTCATAATTTCTCCTTTTTTGATTAAGAGAAATATGCCATCTTGATTATATAAAATGTTTAAAACATATTTTGGTCCTTTACTTCTTCTTGTAAAATTTTTTCATATTTTTCCATTTCATCTGCCTAGGATTAAGTACAGTCATACCTCTCTATAGCGAATTTTTATATAACGAATTTTTTGGACAACTATATTAAATTTACCCTCGTTATAACGAACTAGCCAATCAAATTCTTTAAAAAATTCACTATAGCTCTATAGCGAAGTTGAAGTTCAGGACATAAAATTCGTTATATCAAGGGTTGACTGTAGAGATTTCACTTTCATTATTAATATCACTCTAATAATCTGAAGTTTCAATATGAAAACTTTCTCTTTTCATTATCAGTATCATATTCCAATTCTTCATCGATCATTTGGTCGATTTCTTCATCAAATACAATAGTTGGTACTCTATTTCCTATGACACATTACACTGAAATAATAACTTTGTCAAGACTGCTTATTATGAGTATTTCATTATTGTCAAATTCTACGTTAACTTTATTTTTCTTACACCAATCTATTCCTAGTAATAAGGTTTCATCTGTTGATTCAATGACTTGAAAGGTTGTTTTGATAAGAATTCCATGAATAACTTTTAATTACTCCTAATGCTCTTTCTTTTTGTCTATTAGCTGTAACAATAATTACTTGTAATGCTTCTTGAATTGTTAATCCAAGTTTTTTTATTAGCTTTTTCGTCATAATGCTAACTGCTGCTCCAGTATCAATGATTGCTACAACTGAGTTCTGTTTGATGTTAATATGACATTTCAATGCTATAATTCTTTCACCTCCTTCTATTAGATTAGTTTGCGTCATATTCCTTCTAATTTTGGTCATTTCATTCTTTGAAGAAATTTTCTTTGTTGTTCTCTACATTGCATCATTTGTCTAATGTTGACATTTGCTTTACATTAACAAGGTTATCCCAAATGTTATATGGTTCAATATGTTTTAAGATTGATTATTCTCTTGGTATTTTCCTTCTTAGTGTAGTAGTATTATTGACTATAGTCTCAGAAATTTTCTCAGTAATGTTTATAGGTTCATTTGGTTTACTTCTGGTCTTTCTAGTTGTGATCTCTTTCTTCTAATTACTGAAAAAACTTCCTGTTTAAGCATGTTCACTTCTCTTTTGTTTGAGTCATTATACTTTGTACGCTAACTTTCTTGAAATATAACTTTTTCTAAAAGAACACTCCTTGTGATGTGTCCTTTTTCTCCGCATCTAAAGCAGATTACTTTTTTTCTATTGAAGTTTCTTTTAAAGTTAGGTCTTTTTCTTTTAACATTATTAGTTGTCAATGCTGACATAATATTGACTTAGTTTAATGCTATTTGTTCAAACTGTTTAGTTAATTTTTTAAGGTCATCCTCAACTTTTGGCTTACTAAAATAATATTCCATAGCATAATTTCTTCCTGCTTTGCTTGAGTGATTGCAGCATCTAATGTATTAGAATTCTGAATAGCTATTAAAGTTGCTAGCTCTTTATTTAATCTATTTAGAAATATTCGCACTTTAAAGGTGTCAGGGATTCCTTCTGCATCATTCTATTTGCTAATTTCTTGAATCTAGATGCATAGGTTTCAACTTTATATCTTTCTTGTTTCAAGTTCATTAATTCATATTGCTACATATGCAACTTTTCTTGAGATGTGAATCGAGTCAAAAATCTTTCTCTGAATCCTGTATTAGCATGTTTATCCTATCGGTCAATATCTCCATAAATAAGATTGTACCAGTCAGCTGCTTCACCTTTTATCATTCCTGCTACAATAGCTACTCTTCTATTGTCTGGCTATCTATAAGCTGCTTGTGCTCTTAAGAAAGTTTCAACCCATTCTTGAGCTTCTTCACTATCTTTTCCATAGTAAGAGTCGATATTTACAATTAAACCTCCTATTGCAGGTGGTGCTGTTATATTAATTCTATTGAATCCATTTGTCATGTTAGTAGTCTTTGGTTAATTAAGGCTGTGAATTGCTCTGCTGTCATTGTTATATTTGCAGTATTTTCTGGGGTAATTGAAAGTGGTTGGTGTTATATAGTATGATAAGAATATGTTGATATATTACTTCAAGTTTAAAGAAGTTTGCGAATCCTAAACTAAATACTAAAGATATTACTAATCTTTTAGCTTTATCAACATCAAGATTTTCTGGTCAATTGATATTAAAACACTGATTAAGTTCAGCAAAGTATTGTTCACTTAAAGAAGTATGTGAATGTACTTTGTATTTCTGACTAATCCACTGATAAAATCTTTTAAATTGGTCGCTTGGATTTTCAGATGCTGAATGACAAATATAACAAGCTTTATCAAATGGTAATTGGCCTCTTGCTATATCTAAATTTATTAAGTGTTGATGTCTGTGACAATGTCTTATTTGAAAGTATAAGTCATCATTCATAAACTAATGGAATTTTTAGATTCCTTCAAGAAGTGTTAATAGGTTCCTTCTGATAAATAATAAGTTATTTCTGTCCTTATGTAGGTCAACTAAGTAATTGTGAAGATGCTTTACTTCTTCTTTGATTTCTTGTTTGATTTAATATAAGATATCTAAAAGTAATTTGCTTTCACAATAAGTAATTAGTTCTCT